GTGTGGTGGTAGAAACTGAAACAGAGCAGTAGACACTTTTAACGGCTTCTATGACTCTCCAGCCATTTATCAGGATTTGAAATGTGAGGATATACTATAAGTGTGGGCAGGAACTTTATATGGAGGCCAGATAAAAGAGCAGTTAAAAGGAAAACTTAAGACAATGAATGTGATTTGAGAATGTCTAAGGAGCCCACATATGAGTTCATATCATACAACTTCCAAACCCATCATTTGGCTTGAGCCACACACAGTGATACCTGGATGAAAATGATGACCATGTCATGTCAGGGAGCTGTGCAGGTCACAGTCATTCACTCCTTAGAGAAGGAATTCAAAAGTTTGGCCAAGACTACCTCAACAGCAACTTAGGAGCAAAAGTGACTTTATGGTCTTTTTCACAAGACATGATTATGCAGGACTATATCAGTGTTCCATCATAGAAACACTTACTGTCTTATCAGAGAGCAGTGACACCTGTTGCTGAAGAGGACAGATGAGAACACACTCACGGGTACCATTACCAGCTCTACCATCAAGAGAAAAAGGGTCCTGTTTTTAGGAGTCACTATCACATTTCAATCCAGGATGATGTTGTTTCCTTCTAAAACTCCACAGTACACTGAGCCTGCCTGGCTGGTCCAGCAAATTGGTGACCTGGAGAAGGACTGTGACCTTCTGGTGTTGCTTACATACAGTCTGGAGAACCTCATTCTGTCTAAGAAAGGATAATACATCATAAGTGTTTTCGCACTCTAGACCCACACTAAAACCATATACACATTGCTTGTTCATCCTGGGACCACAAATTCTGACCAACATGGCCACATGAAGATGCTCCTCCTACTGTGATAATACAACCACAGGCATGGTCAAAACCCAGTAATACCCTGAAACTCCATGTTGAAGGTAAGAAAGTCTCAATGATTAAGAATCATTTTAAGGCCTGAAGATCTTCCCATGAACCATGTACTGAGGAGAGCCACAGATGGAATGTCACAGAACTAGAACTGAGTTCTTCTTTTTCTGAGTGTGAGTGCGAGAGATTCTTGTATCAGAGAGTGATAGAGGTCAGGTGTAGAGGAAGAATGAACTTACTGGCCCTTCCCCATTATCCCAACAGTGCTATCTAGGAATTTATCACTAGCATCCCAGAAAGGATCTGTCCTGGCCACTTGAGAAATTGCCACTCAAGTGTCTTTCTGATATTAGTCATTACTAATTAACTCTGTCCACAGATGAAAAAAAACATACATCCTCATGTTACCTAGCCAAATTCTGTAAACTGGGTCTATTCAGTATGATTTCTTTTTGGATTCTGTGACCTTTATGTCATTCTCCATGTGGAACACTAGACATGCATGTGCCATGGGCCCATCCTTTGAAGTGTTGCTGAGTTAGAGAATTTTCCTGATGTGAAATGTTCCTAGCATTGAGGAAGATAAAAAATTGTAAGACACAGAGGTGCTGGGTAACTACAAGAAAACTCTATTGAACAGTGCCAAGCAGTTACACATCTGAGAGCAGAGGGTTGAGACAGAATCTACAAGCCTGACAAAAGCTCATTACAGACAAAATGAGAGGGAGAGTCAGCTTTATTTAATGATGTAGGTACAGATAGGATGCCCAACAATAAAAGGAAAGCAAAATTAGAACCATATGGAAGGAGGTGAGAGCAGAATCTTAGGTGTATAAGGAAGTGTAACAGATTCAGGAAGTGTTTGAGAGAGGATTACAACAAAACACATTGTTTAAAATTCTCAGAGAACTAATTTATAAAAGGGAGGAAGAGATATAGTTGATATTGTAGCAAAAGACTGAAGCTAAGTATAAGCTTGAATTGAGTAAGAATTTGGAGTAGCACTCTTGTTACATCAGAAGAAAAATGTGCTCAGTGTCTTAATAAGGTTCCCTGTTGCTGTGAAGAGACTCCACGAGCACTGCAACTCTTAATGAAATATTTAACTGTGGTGGCTCACTTACAGTTCAGAGGTTCAGTCCATTATAATCACTATGGGGCATGGGGACATGCAATCAGGATATGGTGCTGGATATGTAGCTGCTCCAGATTTGATATTTAGGCAAAAGGAACTAAACTGTGTCTCTGGTCTTGGCTTGAGGATACATCAGACTTCAAAGCCCACCCACAAAGTGGCATGCTTCCTCAAACAAAACCATACCTACTTCAATAAGAGCACAACTCCAAATGGTGCAACTCTTCTTTGGGGTCATTTTCTTTAAATCTACCACTCTTGGTAAGGATGAACATTCGACCAATTGACAAATAAAAACTTTGGATTTATTAATCAGTGGGTAAATGGTAATACATTTGAGAGAATGTATTACTCTAACACAGGACCCAAGGTCCGTTCCTAGGACCCATAATGTTATCAATCACAAGTAGCTCCAGTACCAGGGAAGTTAATGTTCTCTTCTGAATGCCACAGGCACAAGGCACAAACATGGGACACAGATGTACATGCAAGTAAAATACTCATATCTGAAAAATAAATAAATCTAAAATTCAATCTGGAAGGCATAACCACCACATAAATTCACACATTGAACAGCATTCAAGAAGAGACAGAGAACAGAAAATACACACTCTTTTCTGGTCACTTTAACATAGACACAACATTCAGAAAGAATATCAGTAAACAAGGAGCAGGCAAAAGCAATAGTGCAGACCAAATGCACCAAAACATGCAACAATATTTCGATCTAGATTGCCCCACAAGGACTCTCCAGGATATGTGACTAGGGTCACAGAGCAGGTTTCAGCATTACAGAGATGAGCTCAAAACCAGTGGCGTGAAATTCAAATTAAAACAATGAAAGGAGAAATGGTAGCTCTCACAGGTTCACGAGAAAAATAAGCACATTTAAAGCAACCATCAGGTCAGAGAAGGGATCAAAAAGAAGTTCTTGTCAGGAATGAAGAAAACTAGCAAGAGAGGGTGAGCAAGAAGTGGAGGGGTGAAATGGAAAACTCACTCAAAATACAGTATATACAGGTATGATATCCAAACACTTTAAAATGTAAACCCAAGCCTCTGTGTGGTACCACATACTTCAAATCCCAGGATTTGGGAAACAGAGGCAGGAAGATCTCCATGAGGTCCAGCACAGACTTATCTATATAACCAGCTCCAGGACAGCCAGGACTATATAGACAGAGCCTGTCTCAAAACAACAACAGAAACAAATCTAAAAGCATAAATAAAAGGTAACAGAGAAAAAAAACCCTGAAATTGAAAAATTATAAAACAAAACTGGGTGTGACTCACAAGTAAAGTATATTCTGAGAATACTGGTGGCCATGTCATTTATCTCTGCCACCAAAAATAAAGGGAAGTAAATTATTACTGAGGTGTCTTTCTCTGAAACTGGACCACTGAACAGACATTATGTGGTACAGATCGTCAGCAAGACACTGAAGAGCTAGCTCATTACCTTCGAGGTGGAGCTAAGGAACGCCCTGAGAAGCAGAAGGCCAAACTCCAGGATGCAAGAGCTGCAGGTATTTGCCACTAGCAGAGGGAGGCGGCTTCCCCTTGACCTACTAAAACTTGTGGGGCTCCACCATGCACCCGGTGCTGTGACTGTGCGGTGACATCATGCAGCCATCCCTTCACCAGCTTCTCCAAGCATACAGCTGTGACAAGATGATGCAATGCTGCTCACAAGTGCTGCCCATCCCTGGACCATTGTATGGTGATCAGTAGAAAGAAGGTGTCCACACCAACAACTGGCGCCTTAAGAAAGTCAAGTAATTCTGACCCCTGTTTGGCCTAGGCCTCCTGGGATGAATTTTTTGACCAAGTGCAAAAGACTGAAAAAAGTTGACATGGTATGTGTTGGGCCAGTGAGATTGCTTAGTGTATAGCGCCTGCTGGCAACATTAAGACATGATTCTTATTGACAGGATCCACATTGTGCAAGGAGAAAACTGATTTCTGAACTCCATACTGACCTGTGACACACATTCATGAAAACACACACACACACACACACACACACACACACACACACACACACACACACACACTATAGTATGAGTAATAAAAACCCAGAGACAAATATTGAGGTTCAATCTGAAGATCAGAAAAAAAAAAGCAGCCAGCCACTGATTGTTACTTCTACCTCAACCAAAGTGGCAATCCTGCTTCCAGGAATCCTCAGAATGAGACTCAGCAGAGACCTGTCTTTTTTGCATCTTATATTCCTCTTTGGGTCTGGGATAAAAGGCATGCACAACTATAGTCTGGCTTCTATGGTCAGCCAGTGTGGCTATTGGAATTAATGGTGCATGTCACCACTGCCTGGACTGTGTGGCTGAACAGTGTGTCTGTTCTACTCTCTGATGTTCAGGCAAGTGTTTTATTTATTAAAATACAAATGAAATATCACTACAACACACAAATGAATGAACCGAAAATTAACCAATATAATTTAAAAGTTGTAATGGTATGTATACTTTCCAAGAAAAAGCAAAGAGTCAGAACTAGAGGTGCACCTCTTCTCCCCAGCACAGGAGTCTATGAAGAAAAGGATTATAAATTTTATTCTAGGCAAGTTATTATTGACACCATTCTAAAAGACATTAAAAATATGGAAAGGGAAGAATTTTAAGTAAAAATGTGAAATTAAGAAAATAAAAACAGACTTAAATTTTGTAATTGCTATTTGAAATATTCATACATGTCTGCTACAATATGGACTTAAGAATTACGAGGACAGATGAGGCAGACGTTGAAGGTGACATGGAAATGCTATCTGTGTGAGAATTGATTGCAACAGGTCTAGTTCATGGACTAGCTATAATCCTGGGGAAGTCAATGCCAGGTGCCCGAGGGGGTGGTTCTCCCATGACCACACATGGTCCACCCATGTCAGGAGGAGTGTCTGCCTCCAGAAGCCACACCCTGTGTTTCCTGTCCCTCCAGCCTCAGTAGTTCTGCCTATAAGAGCTGATGCAACCTGTGTGAAGAGATGCAAGGATGTCCACCTTCATAGCCCTGCTCTGTCTGGGTGAGATATGAAGATGGGGAAGATACAATGTGACCTGGGAATGGCCCTGCCCCAAGCCTACCACTGTCCTATCAGGGAAACCCAGGGTCTCGGGAGGTTCTGTGGACAGGAAGGACCTACTTAAGGTTCGGGGACAGACATCACACAGGTAACTCTCTTCCAGGAATGACTCTGTGCCCCGGGACGCCAGTGCTGACAGGTGAGTAAATGCAGCTGTCATAACATGCCATGCCTGGCATACCCAGGAACCAATCCTTGGAAATGAGGACGGAAAACAAGACCTGAGTGCTGCTCCAGGGTTTGGATGGAAGGTCGTGGGGTTGGCACTTTCAATCTGAGAATGGAAGCCTTTTGTTCTAGCTGTTCATTTTCTTCCAGGAACCCTGCCTAAGTCTCTACTAAGAGCACAGCCAGATACTGTAGTCTCCAAGCAGACTAACGTGACCTTCTTGTGTGAGGGTATGAAAGGCGCAAAAGAGTTCCGTATCTACAAAGATGGAGTTCAATATACTCAGTTCACACAGATTCTACTAAAGTCTGAGAACAAGGCAGAATTCTCCATCTCAAACATTGACCAGAACCATGCAGGGAGATATCAGTGCTGCTATCAGACCCATGATGGATGGTCAGACTACAGTGACACCTTGGAGCTGGTGGTGACAGGTGAGAGGACAAAAATGTTGAAATCTTCAGGTTTCCCTCTCAAGAAGCAAGCCTGCTCTCAAGCATAGCCTGTACTTTACAGCTCTGGAAGAAAATGTTTCTGATATGTTTAACTGATTCCTTTTTCTCCTAGGAGAACACACTAAACCCAGTCTGTCAGCCCAGCCCAGCCCAGTGGTGACCTCAGGAGGAAATGTCACCCTTCAGTGTGACTCATGGCAGCGTCATGACAGGTTCGTTCTGATTAAGGAAGGACCAGAGAAGCTCTCCTGGACACTGGACTCACAGTATAACTTCTCTGATAGACAATACCAGGCTCTGTTCTTTGTGGGTCCTGTGACCTCCAACCAAAGGTGGACATTCAGATGCTACAGCTTTGACAGAAACAGATCATTGGTGTGGTCAGAACCCAGTGATCCACTGGAACTCCTGGTTACAGGTGAGGAACCAAACACATTCCACAGAATAGTGTTGAGAGGATACTGGTACCGAGGGAGGACTTGGTGTGTGTTCTATTTGAGAAGACAGGGCTCTTTAGCTCATTGACACAGATCATTGGAGACAGAGGAATCCAAGATACAGAGTCCAAGAGAGAAAGTAACAGAAAATCACAAGTGGTCTAGGAGAGAGGTTAATCTTCATGGGATATTGTGCTACACAGTATCAGCTGAAGTACCATCTACAAGTGTGAACCTCTCTGTGCCACTTTCAAACAGAATCATCTCCTTTCCTATTTCTTTGTAGGGAACCTCGACAAACCCATCATCAAGGCTGAACCAGGTACTGTGATTGCCTACAAAAGTGCCGTGACCATCTGGTGTCAGGGGAGCCTGAACGCAGAATTGTATGCTCTTCATAAACAAGAAAACCCAAAGCCCTTGGTCTTAAGGTCCCCAGAGAAGTCTAGAAAAAAAAAGGCCAATTTCTCCATTCCTTCTGCGACAGAGAAACATGTGGGAATGTATCAATGTTACTGTTACAGCATGGCAGGCTAGTCAGATCACAGAGACACCTGGAGATTGTAGTTACAGGTGAGGGAATAGTCAGGGTCTCAGGGTCAGGCTCTGCTCTCAGGAGTATTCCCTTCCCACAGCCTATCCCTGAGGAATATTTTTGCTATATGTGCCATGGCTTTTTCCTCCCCTCCTAGGAATCTAAAGCGATAACCCCAGCCTGTCATCCATACCAGGCTCTGTAGCAAACTCAGGAGGGAACATGACTCTACAGTGTGTTTCATTTGTGAGATATGACTAGCTCATTCTCATCAAGGAAGATGAGTTCTCCATCTCCCTGGACTCACAGTTTATATATACACACTAATGCACACTATGAAGCCATGTTCTCTATTTGTCCAGTGACCCTAGTCCACAGAGGAATATTCAGATGTTATGGTTACTACAAGGATACCACACAGTTGTGGTCAGTACCCAGTGACCCCCTAGAAATAAACATATTAGGTGAGCCATCCCCATCATTGTCCAAACTTGTGGAAGCCCTAAGTCTTTACCAGGACCTGGAAGTCCTGGAATGTTGCTAGGAGAGGTGACTAAAAGAATGATCTGCTTACTAAACAAGAGCCCCAGAGTAGAGGAGAAGCAGTGACGTGTGTTGGGCAGGAAGTGAGGTGATAAGTGTGCATGCATTTGGTTAAAACCTGCTCAACAGTCCTTATCTTGTCATCTTTCCTCTAGGGCTGTCCAAGAAGCCCACCCTGCTGACTCACCAAGGCCATATCCTGGATCTTTCGAAGAGTCTCACCCTGCAGTGTTGTTCTGATATCAACTATGACAGATTTGCTTTATACAAGGTGGGGGGAAATGACTTCACCCAGCACCATGGCCAGTGGACTCAGGATGGTCTCTCCTTTGCCAACTTCACACTGGGCTCTGTGAGTAACTCAACTGGTGGCCAGTACAGATGCTATGGTGCACACAACCTCTCTTCTGAGTGGTCAGCCTCCAGTGACCCTTTGGACATTCTGATCACAGGTGAGGAACCAATGAGATTTTTTTAGATAGAAGTCTCTCCATAGGCTTTCACAGGGAGCCTGAGAGGTGATGGCTGGGACAAGGGACAGAGAACTAACATAGGAACAAGGTGCAGATGCAGGGGAGCAGGAGAGATGCTCAGACAGAGAAGAGACAGAGTTACAAATGCTCAGAAACACCCAGGTGCAGTTTCAGTTCAGAACCATGAAGGTAACCTCTCTTCATCCCTTCATTCTCTTCTTTAGGACACTTTCCTGTCACTCCTGTTCTCTCAGTGAAGCTTAACCCAACAGTAAATCCAGGAGACTATGTGACACTTCTGTGTTGGTCAAGAGACCCAGTGGACACTTTCATTCTGTACAAGGAGGGAAAAGTCCATCAACCTCAGCGACGAAAAGCAATGTTCCAAGATTCGCAGTACCAGGCAGAATTCACCCTGAGTGCTGTGACCTCTGCTGTCTCAGGGAGCTACAGGTGCTATGGTTCTCAAAACTCATCACTATACCTGTTGTCATATGCCAGTGCTCCTGTGGAGCTCATCGTTTCAGGTGAGGTGACCCTGAACTGTCAGACTGACACACAATCCAAACACTAGGAGAGCCCTTGACTTGGTGGTCAATAGGAAGTGTTATTCAGAAGGCACTTACTAGTAGGGAAGTGAATACCAGAGGTATTCCCTCAAGTTAATTTCCACTTCATAATCTATTGAAATCTAGAATTGGGGTAAACAGCATGAGGATTATGGGGAGGTTACAGGGCAGATGTAAGACACTAAACACAGCCAGGATCTCTGGGTTAGCATCTAACCCTCATCCTTTCCTTGTTCTGTTTCCTAGGACCCACTGAAGCAACCAGCCTGCCACCATCGAAGTCCCTGCCACCATCGAAGCCCATGCCAACACCTGGTGAGTGTCCGGCACCTATCTTAGGAAGTATGCTTCATCCTCAGGCTGCATCACTACTCTTAACCCACTGAAGTCCTCATTCCTCTGTTACGTCAGCTTGTGAGTGTGGAAGGCAAACAACAATTTCAACAGAGACCCCGTAATCCCAGAGTTTAGTTTGAAGGTGACATCCAGAGAGAGATGTTTACGCTCAGTCTAGAGAATGAGGGAAGAGAGTAAGATGGAGAACAGGGAACCCAGACACTCACCTCCACATTCTACCTCGAAGGCTCTAAGAACAAACCACTCACCTGCATGGAGTTAGGCCCCAGAGGCCTAATAAACACTATGTTGGAAGGTGGGGGTCCTGGTGGGAAACAGCTAGTTATGGACTTGATACAAGAGATGTTATAGATGCTGACTTGGAAAAGTCCTTCCCATTCTGAACTGGCTGCTCTTTCTCTGAGTACAAAAAAAGTGGGAAAAACCTTGCCCACAAGCATTAAGTGTTTTTTTTCCCCCAATGCTGGCATTGGTTATGGCCCTTCTTGACAGAATCTCACAAAGCTGATTCTCCAGTGTGTCTGTTCCACAATGGTAATGGCATGTGAAAGGGAGGGGCACAGGGCCATGACAGCACATTTAGCCTCCTTCCCTCCATCTCATGAGGCTCAGCTCTGGTGGGGAGAACAGGGCTGTGTTTCAGAGTCCTGGGTTCAAACCCCAGCTTTGTCAGTTTCAAGTAGGGGTTCTGAGGCAGGAGAATTGACTGGATAGGAAAACAGACAAGTCCATGTTACACCACTGTGTAAATGGGAGAAGATGGGTTAAAGATCCAGCATGGGCCTGTCACACAGTAGGTCCTCAGATAAGCACCAACATTCTCCACTCACGGTGTCACTTGTGTCTCAGGACTGGAAAACTGCCTAATGGCTCTGGTTGGAGTGTCTGTGACCTTCCTCTTGTTATCATTCATCCTCATCTTCCTCCTTCTCCCACAAAGGCAACAGGGAAAATTCAGGAAGGAAGGTAAGTAGGAGGTGGCTGACCTGGGTCTCAGGGAACTGTAGGTTCCCCTGTGGACCATTCAAGCATGGGATCAGGACATTAGGACCAGAGAAACCTTAAATTTGAGCAGAGAAGTTTAGAAATACTTGCAGATCTCAGATCAGATAGCACTTGATATCAGAATGCATGGGATTTTAGTTGTTCTGTGGACTTCATTGTGTCCTGGGACATTTGCTAACTCATCTAGGTGCTATAAATTCCCCTTTCTTCCTTGTCCGAGAATGCCTGGGGGGAGGAACTTATTATACTCCTATCTCAGACACTTTTTTTTTCTTTCAGCCAAGAAAGAGACAGAATTCCAGGTTCCTGCAGGAGCTGCAGAGCTAATAACCAGAGATAGGGGCCCCCAGGAGAGGTAACTCATGGCCAGAGGCATAGACCCACACCTGCCTGACACAACTCACTGCCAACTAACATTTTCTAATCTCGACAGATCAAACAGAGCTGCTGCCACCGAGGAAGAAGGCCTTTGTGAGATAAAGAGGGTCCTAGGGATGGAGACATCTGAAGACTCAGCACTGCAGGGGTGGTGGAGAGGCTCTGGGGTCTTTGCTAATTGGTCTGAACTTTACACTATGAACCCAAAGATATCAAAGCATTCCCTGTTCTCCATTCCCACCTGGGGCAATGCAGGACACTAGGGGCTGAGTCATCCCTAGACTCAGTTCTGAAGATATTCTGTTTGTTCTTCTATGACAGATGCTTCAGTGGAGGACATACAACTTGAGGATGGTGTGGAACTGAACAGTTGGGTGAGATCCCTCTCCCTATCTAGAGTGCTAAGAAATTAGGGTCCAGATTGTTCCAGGAGTACCTGTTTTTCCTCTCTCAGCTCTCAGCAACAACCACAGCTGACCACTCCCTTCAGCGAGCACTATCTGCCTCCTATATGCTCTGGCCTCACTCTCCCCTGACTCTCTTGGTTCCTCCCTCATGTCCCCTTTCTGGTTCCTCAGCAGCTCTCTGGTTGCTAGCATGCACCTGGGAACTCAGAGATCACAGGACTAAATGAATCCAGATGGCCCCATTACCTCCACTCACCTAGCTGTGACATGAAATCCCTTCCTTAACCGGGTCTTCCTGCATGGATCAGAGTTAGAACAAAGAACGCACTCCCAATCAGAATTAGGCCATGTGGTAATAAATGCAGAGGGGCAAACAGTTTCAGAAAAACAAAGCAGAACAAGAAGGTGAGAGCAGAAAGGGCCAGTGTGAGTTGCAATGGAGGACTCTGAAAGGTGTCTTTTGAGGAGAAAATCCACATGGTCAAGTCCATAAATATATCTAAGGGACCAGCAACTTCAGCAGGGGACACACTGGGACAAAGGAAACTGGGCAGAAACATGGGGTTTTGTTGTAGTTCATTTTATGTGTAAGGGTGTTTGGCCTGCATATATATTTGTATGCCACATGTCTTACTTTTGCTGTAGAGATCAGAGGATCGTATCAGACTCCTTAGAATTGGAATTGCAAATGATTTTAGGTAGTATGGACTGAACCTGGGTCCTCTGCAAGTGTAGCCAGTGCTCTTAACCACTGAGCCATCTCTCCAGCCTCAAGAAGCTTATGTTCCAAAAGGTTTGACTGTGTGGCTGGAGGCAAGACAGCAAGGAATAGAGTGTCAGAATAAGAGACTAAAACTGTAAAAAGGAAGTCAAAACAGTTCAATTTGGCCATGCAGTGAAAACTGTCCAGATAAGATCTATGGTGGAACAGAGAGACGCTATATCCCACTGTTTTCTGTGCTACAGAGGACAATGGAGATAGGCCACCAGGGAGATATATCCACCAAGATGAACTCCTCCAGGCTCAGGAGGGTAGAAGCTATCCTACCTTCTCTGATGTCAAGAGAATTCCTGGACAGTAAAGGACAAGCAGAAGAAGGCAGGAAGATGGACACTCAGGTACATCCTGTTTCTCGTAGCCCTGCAGGTTCATCCAAGCCATATACTTCCCTTTTACTCTTTCCCACTCCAGGCCGTACCATCTGAAGAACCTCAGGATGCAACCTATGCCCAGCCACTCAGCAGGATATTCAGACAGGAGACAGTTGCACTTCCTCCTTCCCAGGCAGGGCAGGTCTCAGAGGAGCCAATGTACGTGATGCTCTGGTAGCTACTAATCCATAGGCTATTCCCAAGAACAAAAATGCATGACCCTCCGCACACAAGCATGCTTAACAGAGACGGCAAAAGAATGGTGGCAGGTTTTTGGAAACTGTCTGCACTTTAAATAAATTCACAGATTTTGGAAATAAAGCAGGAGATTTCTCAATTATCAAAAATTGAGTAGTTTTTGCATCTATGTTCACAAAGGAGAATGGTCAATAATTCTCTTTCATGGTTGAGTCTTTGTGTGGTTTTAGTATCAGAGTAACTGGAGTCTCATAAAAAGACTTTGGCAATGTTCCTTTTGGGGGGAGTGGGTTTCAAGACAGGGTTTCTCTTGAAAGACCCCCGAAGAGTGTCTTCCCTCTAGAGAGACCCTTCCCAAGGATCAGCGAGACCACCGTTGTGGATGCAAACTGCAAGAGGTTTATTTCAGATACACAGGTACCTGGGGCAGCAGAGTCTCTTGGAAGACTTGCGCGCCCTCAGGCTGTGGTAAGGGGTTTTTATAAGGGCAGAGAGCAAAAAGCGCGGTTACAGAAGCAGATGCCATGGTTACAGGGATTTCATTGGACAACTTAATTTAGGCCAGGTTAAACTGGGGACAAATTCCCCCTTGGTACATGGAAACCAGTTAGGGCTGAGTTGGCCCTTTCATAACTGGCACTTCCTGTTCTTGCCTTGCCCTAACGGCTGACCACAGATATCCTGTTTTGCTACCGACAGCCCGTCATTCTGTTTTGCAATGTATAACTGTCCTCTGTCTGAATTCCCCAAAAGTACAAGCCTTGCATAAAATGGCGTTATTTTTAGCTACTGCTGAAGCGGCAGCAATTTTGGGCTGGGGTCTTTCACTCTGTAACTTTGGAGCCTGTCCTGGAACTAGTTCTTCTAGACCAGGCTGGTCTCAAACTCACAGAGATCCACCTCCCTCAGCCTCCTGAGTGCTGGGATTAAAGGTGTGCACCACTACTGCCCGGCAATATTCCTTCTGGTTCTATTATGTGGAACACTTTGAGGAATATAGGTATTAGCTCTCTTTGGAAGTTCTCGTAGAATTCTGCAATAAAACTTACAAGTCCTGATTTTTTTGTTTGGCAGGCTTTTGATAATATCTTCTATTTATTTGCAGTTTACAGGTCTATTTAATTTGTTTACCTGGTCTTGATTTAATTTTGGTATATGGTATCTAACTCAAATGTCCATTTCATTTCTGTTTTAAAATTTGGGGAACTACATGTTTCTGTAGTATGATCTAATGATTCTCTGAATTTCCAGAGTCTTTGGTTGTGTACCCCTTTTCTATTCTGATTTTGTAAATTTGGATGTTCTCTTTTTTCCTTTTGATTAGTTTATATAAGGGTTTGTCTATCTCGTTGATTTTCTCAAAGAACCATCTCTTAGTTTCATGGATTCTTTGTATTGTTTTCTTTGTTTCTATTTTGTTGATTTCAACCCTCAATTTGATTAATTCTCATCTTCTACTCCTCTTGAGCGCATCTGCTTCTTTTTCTTCTAGAGCTTTCAGGTATGAAGATAAGCAACTGGTGTGGGCTTTCTCAACTTTCTTTATGTGGGCACTTAATGCTATGAACTTTCCTCTTAGCACTGTTATCATAGTGTCCCATAGGTTTGGGTACATTGTGCCTTCATTTTTGTTGAATTACAGAAAGTCTTTAAATTATTTCCTTATTTCTTCCTTGACCCAGGGATGGTTCAAGAGTTCCCTGTTAAATTTCCATGAGTTTGTATACTTTCTGGAAGCAGTGTTGTTGTTAAATTCTGACTTTAAGCCATAGTTTTCTTAAAAGATACAGGGAGTTACTACCATTTTTTTGTTTTATTTTTTATTTTTTGTATTTGTGGAGGTTTTGTTTTGTAATTGAGTATGTGGTCAATTTTAGAAAAGGTTCCATGAGGTTCTGAGAAGAAGGTATATTCTTTTGGGTTTGGGTGGAATGTTTTATAGATGTCTGTTAAGTCCATTTGAGTCATGACATTTGTTAGTTCTCTCATTTCTCTCTTAAGTTTCTGTCTGGCTAACCTGTCCATAGGTGAGATTGGAGTGTTGAAGTGTGTGGGGTCTGATGTGTGATTTAAGCTTTAGTAATTTTTCTTTTACATATGTGGATGCTTATATTAGGGGAATAGATGTTCAGGATTGAGATTTCATCTTGATGGATTATTCCTGTTATGACTATTAAGTATCTTCCTCCATCTCTTCTGATTGATTTTAGTTTGAAAACTATTTTGTTAGATATTAGGATAGCTACACCTGCTTGTTTCTTAAGCCTTGCCCTGTAGTCAGACAGATGAACATCATAAATATCATCATAGAACCTTCATCAAGCATCTAATGGAAACAGGCAGAGACCCACATTGGAGTACTGGACTGAGTTTCCAAAGTCCAATTGAAGAGTGGGAAAAGTGAGAATATGAGCAAAGAGGTCAAGACCATGATGGGTCCACCCACTGAAACAGTCTACCCGAGCTTATGGAGCTCACCAACACCAGCCAGATTGGGAAGGAACAAGCATAGGATCAATCTCATCCCTTCAAATGTGATTGACAGTTGTATGACTAGGGCACATTGAAGAGTCATAGGCAGTGACACCAGGATTTATTTCTACTGCTTGATTTATCTCTACTTCTCTTTGGATGGATACCTTGCTCAGTCTAGATACAGTAGAGAGGGCCTTGGACCTTCCCCAAAGCAATGTGCCTTACACTCTCTGAGGAGTGGGTGGAGGTGGGAGGGTTTGTGGAGGGAATGGGAGGAAGGGAGGGAGTGGGAATTTAGCTTGGTATTCATAATGATAAAAAGATTGCTTTCTTTTTTAGAAAAATAAAAAATAAAAATGTAATAAAAATAAAAAGAAAAATTGATAAACTGTCCATTTAAAATGCTAATAAGAATTACCTTTTAAAAAGGCTTTATCACATTGATTATATCTGAAAGGCTTTTTTACAGAATGCATTCTTTTATGGTTTTGGAGAATAATGTTAAATGTAAAGTCTTTCTCACATCGGTTACATTCATAGGGGCTTGTCAGGGGCAGAACTGACATAAATTATTTCCCGAACCAGAGTGGAGGCATGGGAATAATTGAGGCATAGATCACATGTCATTATGAGGACGACATCTCAGATTTTATTCTAATCCTGCAGATCACCTGCATTTATTATCCAAAGTTTTTATATCAAAAGGTAAACTGAGCGTGGATGTTCATTATCATTCTGTTTCCTGGGTAACAGAGGAGAATGACTTATGTCATATCTACAACTATGGCTGCTCTGTCACCTAGACTGAATTAACACTTCTTCCCTAGGTGACCTTCTAAATTACAGTAGAAGGTGCAAAGCAACATTAACATATCCTGACCCTTTTCTTAGGTTGGTGTCAGGTTGTCTCAAAAGGATAGGTGATTACCTTCTTTCAGCAGGTACAAATATGCCCTGAAGTTTGCTTAGAATTCTGGCCAGCATGCAATGTAGAAATATGGGCCTGTATAATATGGACTCTACAATCCACTCTCTCTGATTAATTTTAATAAAACCTGTGCTTTGCAACAGGACAAATGTTCGTATCTGCCTTAGGCAAAGACTTCTTCATTTACCCAAATTTACCTGCCATTAGAAACAAG